GTCGTTTCCAATTCGACTGCAAAACAGTTTGGCGACAAGAGCCGATAATTACAAATTTCTAAGCTAGAAGCATTCTCCTATATTTTCTTTTTCACAAGTCCTATAATAGTCACTTGGTATTCTTGCCGTCTTCACCAGGCTGTTCACTCTCTCCTTCTTTCTTGTTATTTTCATTCTTAGCTGCAGCGGCCTGAGCGCGTGCCGGGAAGCTTCCTTCATCAACTTCGCCACCATGTTGTTTTGCATAAGAACTCTGGATACGGGCGGCATCTTTAGTAGTCATGGGTTTCTTGGGTTCACCACCAGACTGTTGGTCTCCTTTGTCCATTCCTCGGTTGTTCTATTGGAAAATTCATCGTTAAAAAGGTGATGATATTTATCAACAATCTTCTTTGCATTTTAAGGCTCAAACATCGAGCCCAATGCTACCGTAGTTGTGGACCTTTTGAGGCTTAACACCCCAAGAAATACCAAAACCGCTTTTTTGATAAAGGTGCGACGAACACTCCTGTCCTTTTTATTTCGTCTGTATGGCCCTTTCACTATATAAAATTCCCTTTATTTCAAGACCAATGCCAGGTAAATGTCTACAAAAACGGATATTAAAAACGAGAGAGTAATAACTACACTACCAAAAATGTGTGTATCTCTTAAGGGATCCTCCGAAGGTTTCACAGTACGTAATTTCACAGCGAAGGTCATCAAAGCTCTTCCGTCAATGACATCGCATCTATACTTACAATTCTTAATCAGGAAAAAATAAGAAACGCTTATTACCTTCAAGCAAATGAGCTGAAATTTGTAAGAAGAATCCCCGTCAATTTTTGGAATTTCCTTCCAGGACCGTTTCACCTTTGTCGATGAGTGATTTTGCATTCAGATGCCTCTTTATTGAGACATTTCATCAACGTTCTAATTGGCTGATCGCAACATGTATGATTTTTTATTGACAATGACTCATCGTTTCTTGTCAAAATATTGCTGAGCTAAGCATATCTTCAAAATCTCAAGTAACGCTGAGTTGGCGCATTCCTAATAACAACGAGTGTCGCTTGATAAGCAAGCTAACGACAGCGATTGTTAACTGAAAGAAATAAAAATATAATATATGCGCTTGCCTGTTTCTTTCTTGATGTGTCGTATTTTAATATCTTTCGTGTTCATGGCTTAAACTGTCTCCAGGAATACAGAGACA